ACTCACAGAGATCTCCTTGCCTCTGCCTTCCAAGTGATTAATCCTTTAATCCTTCCAAGGGATTAAAGCCACTACACCTAACTCTCATATTCTTTTTTTAAAAAATATTTTCTTTATTATTTTTATTTTATGTGTATGAGTGTATTACCTACATGTATGTGAGTGCACCTGTGTCATGCAATGCCTCGGAGGTCAGAAGAGGGCTTTGGATTCCCCTGGAACTGGAATTAAGGACAGTTCGTAGCCGCCATGTGGGTGCTGGGAATCAAACCCGGGTCCTCTGCAAGAGCAGTCAGTGCTCTTAACTGCTGAGCCATCTCTCCAGCCCCTCATAGTCTTTTAAAAATTTTTTATTTATTATTTTTTATGAGTATGAGTATATTGCCTGCATATATGTAAGTGCACTCGTGTCATGCAACGCCTGTGGAAGTCAGAAGAAGGTATCAGATGCCCTGGAACTGGAGTTACGGGCAGTTGTTAGCCACCACGTGAGTGATGGGATTCAAACCCAGGTCCTCTGCAAGAGCAGTGAGTGCTTTTTGAGACAGGGTCTCCCTGTAGTCCCAGCTGGCCTAGAACTTGCTGTGTAGACCAGGCTGGCCTTGAACTCACAGAGATCCTCCTGCCTCTGCCTCCCAAGTGCTGGGATTAAAGGCGTGCACCACCATACCTGGCCTGCCCCTTATATTCGTAATAATAACAAAAATATAAGGTCAGCAACAGAGGTCAGCCACCAATCCACAGAACATTCTGGAATGTGCCAGAACTAACCTTACCACAGCATCCTCATTCTCAGGCACCAGAAGAAGAAAACTAAGAAGAAAAATCATGTTGGCCCTTTTGCTGGTGCAGTATTCTTGTGGAGTAGAGAGGATGAGTTCTTGCCTTTGAAAACAAGGGAGAGAATATATGATAATGTACATGCACATCTAACATTAGTTATTTCTCTGGGGCTAAATTCTATATCAAAAATACTTTGTAGGCGTGGTGGTGCATGCCTTTGATCCCAGTACTCGGGAGGCAGAGGCAGGAGAATCTCTGTGACTTCAAGGCTAGCATGGTCCACATAGTGAGTTCCAGACCAGCCAGAGATACATAGTGAGATGTTTCAACAACAACAACAAATCCTCATTGTGTCCTTAAAACCAACAGACTTCTTACAATTCCCATCTTATGGAGGAGGAGTGAGATACGTAGTAGCTAAGTAATGTGTCCAGAGGCCACAGCTATCAAGAGGGTAGCTGGACTTTATACCATACTTCTAAGAATTCACATCAGTCACATGCCTCAAGAGATGGCCATGAAGACCGGAAGCATCTGCTGAAGAGATAACAGTAGCACAGGTCTCATTAGCCAAACAGATGTGTTACAGTCATCACCACTGAATGCGAATCTGGTACAATAACTTTTAACTCATAATTCAATAGCACCCAATGGCTTTAAAAAGATACTGCTTAATTATATGTTTTTTAAAGATCATGTGATACACACATTGTTTGCACAAATTTCTGGGTTGTAGGTAATTAGATATTTGCTATCGTGATGAATTATGACTCAAGAAATAACTAATTTAGTAATAGTATAGTGACTTGTAAATAGGAACAAAGAAATGTATATTTATACAGATCTTATGTATGAATAGATTTAATTTTTTGTGTGTACACATTTAGTTTTATTGTAACAAAGAATAATTAAATCCAGTGGATCACACAGAAAAAAGAAAAAGAAAAGAAAAGAAAGAAAAAGGCATGGACCTAAGAGAGCGATTGTTGGGAAGAAGGATTCCAAAGAAATTAGGAAGGAGATAAGAAAAGGTAATGAGGGGTAAATGTGATCAAAATACATTGTATACATGTATGAAATTATCAAAGAATCAATAAAAATTATTAGCAAGAGAAAAAAAAAGCTTGTGGAATACTTAGTGCTGCCTTTAGTTCTCAGCCTTGAGCCTCAGCCACCATTACAGCAGGAAAAAGCAACCTTGGCAAGCTGGCTTATTCCTTTGTGATGCTTAAATACAGCCTTCCAATGTGACTTGCTTTCTGCATGTCAGGGAGACTATTCATATCAGCAAATATAATACAGTGTATGTCAGAGGACAGCTCTCCAGGCTTCATTCTAGTTTCATGTGAGCCTCCAAAAATCCTTATTTCAAAATAATTCCTATTAAGGGCTGGAGAGGAGTCTCAGTAGGTGAGAGCATGCACTGCTCTTGTAGAGGACCCTAGTTTGGTTCCCAGCACCCACATCTGGTGGCCCACAACTGCCTGAAATTCCAACTCCAGGGGATTTAATGGCCTCTTGTGGACTCCAAGAGTACCTGCATTCACATGTGTACATAACCACCCCCCATACATATAAACATAATTAAATAAATATATATTTTTTGATTCCCATTAACACAGATCTCCTTTGACATCTTTTTCCCACCTCTGATCCCAGGGATTGAGTGAGTTGAAATGCTTCAAACATCAAATTTCAAAACATCTAGTTGATATTATAACCTCTGCTTTGATCACACTGTCTGCTATCACAGTTTAAGCCATGTTTCCCCAAGACAAGTTCCTTAAATTCTTTGCTCATTATAAGCAGTTGAGCTACTGGTAGGCTTTGCTTTTTTTGATGTGTGTTTGTTGGCTTTTTTGTTTGCTTATTTTGTTTTTGTTTTCCTCTGGATGTTAAGTTGTGTTTGGCATTTTCTTCTGTGGAGAATGAAAATTTAAAAAAACAAACTCAGAGTTGGCACGAAATAAAAACAAATAGGAAGTGTTGGCAGAAACCCTCATATTCATGAAGTTTTTGAAAGTAAGTTATAGCTAATCATTTCCACATTGATGGTATGGTCCTAAACATGGCTGCCTTTCATATTTGCCTGGAAAACTGTTTGAACCTTAGGAGTCTTTGCCAGTCAGCTCTTTGATACAAGATTACATGTAAACAAGGAGCTGTTTTCCTATCTGGGGTAAAATGAGCTTACATTAATGAAAGTCTGGTACAACTTATTTGATGACAAAATAAAAACTTAATTTTAAATAAAAATTTTAAAATTTTTTCAAAATTTTAAATAGAAAGCTTTTAAATAACATTGAGTTAACTGTACATGAACATTTCCCCAGTGTTTCCTTTCTTGTTTAGCTATCAAAAAGAATTATTTTTATAGTCCAGAATGTATAAAGAACTCTTGTGCTTCTGAATCTTGAAAATAAATGCATGAATAAAACCTAAATCATCACAAAGATCAACTGTTCACCAGAGTGTACTGTGATTGATCTCAGCCTTGTGAATAAAGTTGTTTTATTTTCTCTTCTTATTCCTACTGCCCGTTCAACTTATTTGTGATTGACTCTATTTTATTTGTTGACAATTTAGCATCAAAATAATGAATTGGAAAAAGAACTTGAAATATTAAAAATATGTTTCAGGTCTTAGATGATCCAATCAAAAGACAATTTTAGGGGCTTCTTTTTGAGACAGGGTCTCCCTGTAGCCCCAGCTGTCCTGGAACTCACTATGTAGACCAGGCTGTCCTTGAACTCACAGAGATCCACCAGCCTCTGCCTCCCAAGTGCTGGGATTAAAGGTGTGTGCCACCACACCTGGCCAAAAGACAATTTTTAAAAGAGGAAATTAATAAAATGATAAAGGTAAAATGTGAAAGTTATAAATGTCAAATATTCTTTTCAAAAGTCTGTGACTGGCTCTTCTTGAGATCACTCTTTATAGGGGCTTCTGCTTCAATCATCTGCAGTAGAATTTCCTGGACTTGCAGCTAATACTTCATTCCAAGTCTGCTCAGATCATCCTAGAATGAGACCTAGGGGTCATTAATTTGTCCCACCATCAAATGGCTTACAAAGAAGATACTACTTTTTGATAACAAACTCATAGCTATTTTACTTCAAAGGTCAACGAAATACTGTGGCAAAGAAAAATGCAAAAATGAAAGGGAGAGTAAAAGCTTTCATTTTTAAAATTAATTTTATTTATTTTTTATTTTATGTGTATGCGTGTATTGCCTGCATGTATATAACTGTACTCGTGTCACGCAATGCCAGTAGAGGTCAGAAGAAGGTGTCAGCTTCCACTGGAACTGGAGTTATGGACGGTTGTTAGCCGCCATGTGAGTGCTGGGAATTGAACTCGGGTCCCCTGTAAGAAGAGTCAATGCTCTTAGCTGCGGAGTCATCTCTCCAGCCCCAAAGCTTGCAGTTTTTAACAAAAACATCCAAGAATGTGTGGACTGTTAGAAATTTCAGTGAGTTAGTAAAAAATGTAGTGAAACTGAAAGATTATAAAAACCTAACAAGATTACTATTGGGTGTTTAGTTCTAAACATTCAGGTAATTTGACCTTAAGTCAAGATAATTTATGTGAAATTATTTGTTTGGTTTTACATTTCTGTTTTCATTCATAGAAGGGGTAAATTCTACTGTGCTGTTTAATAAAGCTAGACATTCCACTTAAGTACAAAGTAATAAACTAAACCAAAATAAATTGTTTTTAAATTGCTTTCTGGTCTGGAGAGATGGCTCAGTGGTTAAGAGCACTGGGTGCTCTTGCAGAGGATCCGAGTTTGATTCCCAGTACTCACATGACAGCTAACAACTGTCTGAAACTCCAGTTCCAGGGGAATCTGTCACCCTCTTCTGACCTCCAAGGGCTTTGCATGACACAGGGGCACTACACTGAAACACATAAAATTAAAAAAATAAAATAGTTTAAACTGCTTTCCACAAAACTCATAAATGATCCTTATTTAATTCATCCCCCCATCCCCCTCAATCTTTCTGAGGAGTCAGATGATAATTAAGTCCTGGGAAAGGAAGTAAGATTTTCTGAATATGCACTAGAAGATGTACAAGATAAAATTTTAAAAACTAATTATGCATGCCATGTGTTTTTAATATGTCTCCATTATATTGAATAATTTCATTCAGAAGCTCCCTTCAAAAAGAAAAAAGACACATAACAAATATTTCACTATTTTGTTTTGTAAACAGATTGTTCGGAGATTTTCAATGACGGATTTAAGCATAGTGGATTCTACGAAATCAAACCTCTCCAGAGCACTTCAGAATTCTCTGTTTATTGTGACATGTCTGATGGAGGAGGATGGACTGTAATTCAGAGACGATCTGATGGCAGCGAGAATTTTAGCAGGTAACTATTGGAACAAGCAATTATTTGGAGTAGCAGGTGTGAGATTTCTTATTACGCCTCAAGTTTATTAATGCAATAGAAATTTACTTTCTAATTAAGAATACTTAGTGAATTAGCTAATCAAGAAAACATTGGCAGTGAGCAAGTACAGGGGATTCCCATGGGTGCTGCAGGTGTCTATTTGTGTTTTGCTAAAACTGGCCTTCAATTTAAATTTTTTAGGGGTTGGAATGACTATGAAAAGGGCTTTGGAAATTTTGTTCAAAACAATGGTGAATATTGGCTGGGCAATAAAAATCTTCACTTATTGACTGTACAAGGTAAGATTTGTCTGATATTAAATTCATTTGAAATACAATAGAAACATATAGCACAGTGGCAGAGTGCTTCTGTAGCAAGCAGGAGGCATAGGTTCAATCACCAGTATCATGAAAACAAACAAACCGGCTAAGTATTTTCCACCAAATCATAGACAATGAAACTAATTCAGTATTATGATTTTAAGATGGTATTGATACTAGCTAAGCCATAATCCCATTTGCAAAATGCTGCTTAAAATTAGTGAGAGAGGGGCTGGAGAGATGGCTCAGTGGTTGTCCTAGTTTGTTTCTTCATTGCTTTGACAAAATACTCTGACCAATACCAACTTGGGGAGGAAAGGGTTTATTCAGCTTACATCTTCCAGGTCGCAGTTCATCAGGGAGCCCAAGGTAGGAACTCAGGGCAGGAACCTGAGGGCAGGAGCTGGAGCACAGGCCATGGAGGAATGCTGCTTACTGGCTTGCTCCCCTGGCCCCTGCTCAGCCTGCTTTCTTATGCAACACAGGCCCACCTGCCCAGTGGTAGCACCACCCACAGTGGGCTGGGTCCTCCCACATCACTCATCAGGAAGATGCCCCTCAGACATGGCCACAGGCCAGTCCAATAGAGGAAATTCCCCAACTGAGGCTCCCTCAACCCAGGTGTGTCAGGTTGACACTCAAGCTATCCAGCACAGTGGTTAACAACACTGATTGTTCTTGTAGAAGACCTGGGATTGAATCCCAGCACCCATATGGCAGCTAACAACTGTCTGTAACTCCAGTTCCAGGGGATCCAATGGCCTCTTCTATCCTCCATGGGCATTGCACGACACGGGTGCACTTACCTACATGCAGGCATAACACTCATACACATAAAATAAAAGTAATAAATAAAATATTTAAAAAATTAGAGAGAGAGAGGAAAAGAACCCAGAACTAGGTTGGTATGGAGTAGTTTTCATATGTGTGTGTGTGTGTGTGTGTGTGTGTGTGTGTGTGTATGTATTCCTTGAAAGGAAGTGTAATGTCATTGTAAAAGACCACCATACCCAATTCAAATTTTAATTAACCAAATTTATTTGCTGCAACAAGACTCCAGAGGCCAGATAAGGGACTGCAGTAAAGCTGTGGGGGGCAGGGGTCTTTTAAAGGCAGAAACCACAAGTTGCTTCATTCCTATGGTATTGGCAGTTGCAAGGACAGTGGGGTCACACTGCAGCAATAAGCAAGTTTACAGAAGCCAAAACAGGCAATTGTTAGTCATTTTCTAAACAGATGTATAGAGACCTTGACAGTAAGGTCTTTCTGATTGTTATTGTAGCTTACCAAGAAAGACAGGATATTGTTTAGGTTATCTTCCACTGGGTGGGCAAGAAACATAGCTGCGATGTCTGGATGGCGATATCCTTTTCTTTGGTCAGCTATTTCTAAAAAAACCAAAACCAAAACAAAACAAAACTTCTTGGGGGAAGTGACTTACTGGAACTAAGGTCAAACCTTGAGCTGGCTGCTTCTCTGATTTTTAAAGTCTAAGGTGGCTACTTTGTACAAAATGGAGTTGCTCTAGACATTACATCATAATTATTTTAATGCCTTAAGTGACCTAAAATTATGTATACTGGGCTGGAGAGAAAGCTCAGCAGTTAAGAGCACTGACTGCTCTTGCAGAGGACCAGGGTTCGATTCCCAGCACCCACATGGTGGTTAACAACCATTGGTTGCGGGGGAATCTGATGCCTTCTTCTGACCATGGGCATTGCATGACATGGGTGCACTTATACACATGCAGGCAATACACTCATACACATAAAATAAAAATAATAAAATATTAAAAACATATATACTATATAAATTATATATTGCTATAATAATACTGTATAACAGGGGTTGGGGATTTAGCTTAGTGGTAGAGCGCTTGCCTAACAAGCGCAAGGCCCTGGGTTCGGTCGTCAGCTCTGAAAAAAAAAAAAGACAAAATAATACTGTATAACAAGCCACTTCAGAACTTAGTGGTTTGGGGGATGGAGAGAGGGCTTAGCAGATAAAAGCTCATTTTGCCTTTGCAGAGGACCTGAGTTCTATTCCCAATACCCATATCCGTTAGCTTACAACTACTCATAGCTCCATCTCCAGAGGTCTGACACCTCTAGCCTCCACAAGCACCTTTACTCACCTGCATATACCCACACAGATACACACACATATACATATAATTGAACATAATAAAAATAAATCTAAAAATAAATCTTGTGGTACATAAATGGCACACACCATTAATCTCAGTGCTTGGAGGCAGAGGCAGGCAAATCTCTGTGAGTTCAAGGCCAGTCTGGTCTACATAGAGAGTTCCAGGTTCAGGGCTACACAGTGAGACCCTGGCTCAAAAATAAATAAATTAATCAATTAATTAAAATTTAAAAAATTAATCCTAAATTAATAGTTTCAAAATAATAGCCATTTATTATTTCTCTAAATATATGAGCTAGCTGTGTGGTTTTGCTGATCAGGGTTGGGCTCTGTTGATCCTTTCTGGTCTTGTTCATGGATAGGCGATCAATATCCTGGTCAGTGGGGAGGCTGGCTGCTTGAGGTTGGCCTCAGATGGAAATATTCAGCTGTGTTCCACATGGCCTCACATCCTTGAGCTAGCCAGTCTGGGCTTGTACTTGTAGCAGAGCCAAGCTTTCAGTAAAGAAAGTGGAACCAGATAAATTCCTCAAGACCTAGACTCAAGATGGGCACACATTTTCCTTCTCTTGGTGAAACAGCAAGTCATGAGCTCAGAGTTAAGAGGAAAGGAAATATCCAATATGAGGAATCACAAAGAGGGCATTATGATATCTGGAGTGGTGCAGAACTGGGGAACCGGAGCTGTTTTTGAAATCAAATATAATGACCTAAATATCTTTATTTTCACATCTTCTCTCTTTTTTTTTATTTTGAAAATTCATCAAAGATACAGCAAAGTTGAAAGAAGTCTCAACCTACCACATTAATATTTTTTTGTCTTTTAAAAATATTTTATTTAACTGGGTGTGGTGGTGCATGCCTTTAATCCTAGCACTAAATATACAATATATATATTATATTTTATATATGTATTTTATTTTTTATTTTTAATTTATATGTATGAGTGTATTACCTGCATGTGTGTAGGTGCACCTGTGTTGTGCAATGCTTTTGGAGATCAGAGGAGGGGGACAGATTCCCCTGGAACTGGCATTATGGGTGTTTTTTAGCTGCCATGTGGGTACTGGGATCCAAACCCAGGTCCTCTGTAAGAGCAGCCAGTGCTCTCAACTACTGAGCCATCTCTTCAGTCCCTTATTTGGTCTTTTTAAGACTGGGTCTCCCTGTAGTGTCAGCTGGTCTGGAGCTCACTATGTAGACCAGGCTGGCCTGGATCTTACAGAGCTCTGCATGCCTCTGCCTCTTGAGTGCTGATACTAAAGGCCTGTCATGTGTGTCAGCTGTAGTCCCTGGTCTTATCCTGTTGCTCCTTGTCCTGTTCCCCCTCCATTTTGTCCCCCATCCCCCTCCACCATAGTCCGACCACATTAATTTATATTAACATTTTACTATGCCTGTTCATCTGCCCTTCACTCTATCCATCCATCACTTTTAAAATATATATATAATTCAATAGGGCTAGAAAGATGGTGCAGTGATTAAGAACATTTACTACTAGCCAGGTGTGGTGGCACATGCCCTTAGTCCCAGCACTTGGGAGGCAGAGACAGGCGGATCTCTGTGAATTCAAGGCCATCCTGGTCTACATAGTGAGTTACAGGCCAGCTGGGGCTACAGGAGACCCTGTTTCAAAAAGAGCCCCCCCCGAAAAGAACATTTACTACTCTTGCAGAAGATCCAAGTTTGGTTCCCAGCACCCACATCAGGCAGCTCACAACCACCTGTAACTCCAGCACCACCAGAGGATATGACACCCTCTTCTGGCCTCTGAGGGCACCTGAACACATGTGGCATTCACTCACATAGACACACATATACACATAAATAAAAATAAATATAAATCTTTAAAAAATAAAATCAAGAAGCTGGAGAGATGGCTCAGAGGTTAAGAACACTGGCTGCCCTTGCAGAGGACTCAGATTTGATTCCCAGCACCCACATGTTGGCTAATAATCATCAGTAACTCCAGTTCTAGGGGTATCCAAAGCCCTCTTCTGACTTCCTTGGGCATTGCAAGAAATACACTCATACACATAAAAAAGATAAAATTAAACATATAATTCAAAGTAAATTGTGAATATCTATACAATTCTCCACATACATGTTCACTTGAATGTCTTTAACTAGGGTTCAGTATTTGTCTAAAATGTTATTAGTTTGATAACAATTTTCTCAATGTTTTATCTTTTACATCCTTTTGCTCCTGTCACCTTCCTTCATTTTGGTGTAACCTGAGATTGTAATCAGCCCCCTGTAGGTCTGGTCTTGAATGTCTCATGATGGGTAGTTGCATTGCCCCCCAAAACTGACAATTCAAGTATGAAAGCTAGGTTTAATTTGTTCCAGCCAAGTTTAGGCCAGCTATTGGTCCATGTTCTCAACAGAGAGTAGGATGATAATTATAAGGATCCTTGAGATGTAAGCATGATAGCTACAGAAAATGGATAATCCTAACATACCCCTGGATAATCCTATCATGCCTCTGCCCCCTTGACCAGTGCACTCTAAATTCACATAAGGTTTCCTTTCCTTCAGCAGATTTATTACCCAAATTCTAAGTGGAATTTTTTTTTGCTAGATACAGAATATTTATCATACCACATACTGTTTCTTTTGTATATTAATATTTATCTGGTTCATTGTCTAAGCTATGAAAATTTAGAATGACCTAAGCAGCAATCCTTAGGAAATTGACACTTATTTTTCAAGTTATTTTTATGCATACTTTCTGCTCAGATGGACTTTGCCAACAAATCTGATTCCCCTCCATCTTTGCCTGTTTGGCTCTGGGCGCTGAAGTCAGGGCCTTGCATGTGGTAAGCATGTGTTCTACCACTGATTATATCCCCAACACTTCTTTCATTTCTTATTTGGTGTTCAGGCTAGTTACACTTATGCAGTTAAATAAAATGTATTTATCAATTCCAGGCCTTACATGTATTTATCTCATACAAAAGAAATTGCCTTTGGGGGTTGGCGAGATGGCTTATTGGTAAAGAGCACTGGCTGCTCTTTCATAGGACTGGGGTTTGGTTCCCAGCACCCACATGGCAGTTAACAGCCTTAACTTCAGTTCCAGGAGATCTGACACCCTCTTCTGGCCACCACTGGCATTGCATGACATGAGTACACTGACATGCAGGCAAAACAATCATACACATAAAATAAAAATAAATAATCAAAAAATTGAGTAAAAAAGAAATTTCCTTTATCCCAGCATTCTTTAATTAAAGGCGAGTGAAATTGCCTCTAAAAAAATAGCTTTATCCATATTATATAAACGTCTGGAACTATCTGCAATATTTTAGAAATCATCTCTAATTCCAAGTTCATTCACCTATTGAGGTTTTCAAAATGATGCAGACTACCTCTCTCCTCTAATGCAATGTATTTTTTAGGACAACTGATATAGCCTCTCCCCATCTACCTGATGATCTTTGTTCATATGACCTGAGCTATTGCTTCTAGAGAACTCCATCAAAGGAGGAATCTATGAGACCCCCACTTCCCAGACTTACTCCAGGAATGGGAATCCAGAATTCCCAGTCAAACTTCTTTGGAGAGACCCACTCAATGGTCTTCTCTCTTGGTCTTCGTTTGCTACTGAGCCCAAGGAAGAGATCATTCTAGTTGTAAACAAAGATAGGATGTGTGATCTGGGTGTGCACAAAGTGTGCCGAGGCCCCTGACTGCTCATTATACGAGATAGAGATAGAAGATAGGTGCCAATCACAAAAGACTGTGCTGAAGGGCTCTTTTTCTTGGTGCTTAGAGCGACATGAAATCACAGCCGGAAATGGGAAATTGGCACCAGCCCCGGTGGCGCACACCTTTAATCCCAGCACTAGGGAGGCAGAGGCAGGTGGATCTCTGTGAGTTAAAGGCCAGCCTGGTCTACATAGTGAGTTCCAGGACAGCTGGGGCTACAGGGAGACCCTATCTCAAAATGACCAAAAACTAAAAATGTAAAAGGAATAAACATATAATTCTTTAAACCACTATCTTTCATTATCAGATTTCTTAATTTACTAACTAAATAATGACATGTTCTGTTCTTTACAAAGTTAATTGCACTGTTTATTTTTTTGCTAGTTTGGAGACAGGGTCTCACTGTGTAGCCTTGGATAGCCTTGAACTTATAGAGATCAGCCTGCCTCTGCCGCTCATGTGCTGAGATTAAAAGTGTGTACCACCATTCCTGGCTCCAATTTTTTTAAACCTATGAATGATTTAGCAGAATTTTTCTACCTTTGTCTTTTACTGTTTTCAATAAAATAAGCAATAAAATGCTTTGAAAATTGATTTTAGGCTGAAGGAAATAGTAAAAGGAAAATAAACTTGTAAATTATTATTATTGTTGCTATTATTATTATTTGGTATTTTTGAGACAGGGTCTCCTGGTAGCCCCAGCTGACTTGGAACTCACTATGTAGACCAGGCTGGCCTTTAACTCACAGAGATCTGCCTGCCTCTGCTTCCTGAGTGCTGGGATCAAAGGTGTGGGCCACCATGCCCGGTCTGTAAATTATTTCTAAACCTAAATAGCCAATGTCACATCATGTCTTTTAAAAACTAAGTTCCTGGGCTGGGTGTGGTGGCACACACACCATGTAGCCTGGTCTACATAGTGAGTTCTAGGCCAGCTGGAGCTACAGGGAGACCCTGTCTCAAAAGAAAAAAAAAAATTAAAAATAAATAAATAAAACTAAAGTTCCTTTTTTTTTTTTTTTCCAGGAGACTATACTTTAAAAATTGATCTTACAGATTTTGAAAAAAACAGTTGTTTTGCTCAGTATAAAAGTTTCAAAGTTGGTGATGAAAAGGTATTAAATTTTTTTCCATTGGGAATACCATGAATTAATGCTGAAAACATACATTAAAATATACAAGCCTGCATGTTTTTCTTTTGTTGTTGTTTATTAAACATGTATTTAAATGTTAACCATTGGTAGTGAAAATGGTCTCTTTTCCTTTAGTCTTTCTATGAGTTGACTATTGGAGAATATTCTGGAACAGCTGGAGACTCCCTTTCAGGGACTTTTCACCCTGAGGTGCAGTGGTGGGCGAGTCACCAAAGAATGAAGTTCAGCACATGGGACAGAGATAATGACAACTACAAAGGAAACTGTGCAGAGGAAGAGCAGTCTGGCTGGTGGTTTAACAGGTTTGATGCTTCACAAACATAGTCGTAGTGGTGTTAATGGTGTCTCACCAGGAGGGCACTAATTATAACATATGAGGTAATGTTGGCCTTATTTGTGATATTATTAAGTAATCAGCCTTATTAGGATTCTTCATCTATGAAATGTTTTTGAGGATTTGTTTTTGTGTACATTAATGAAACTTTAAAGATGTGCCATAGAGCTCGGTGTAGTGCCACAAGCCTGTAATGGCAGCACTTAGAGGCTGAGGCAGGAGGATCACCACAAATTCAAAGCCTGTCTGCTTTATATAGCAAGCTCAGGGTCAACCTGGGCTACATAACCAGATCCTGTCTCAAAAGCAAATAAACAGGAGAGATTACTCTGTGATTAAGAGCACTGGCTGTTCTTGCAAAGGACCTGGGTTCAGTTCCTAGCACCCACATGGTGGCTCGCAACCATCTGTAACTCCAGTTCCAGGGGATCCAATGCCCTCTTCTGGCCTCCATGGGCATTCCATGACATGGATGCATTAACGTATATGCAGGCAATACACTCATACACATAACAAAAATAAATAAACCAAAACAAATACAGAACAAAAGAAACAAAAATCCCTCCAAAGATATGTCATAGAAATAAATATATTTTTTCTACCATTACAAGGATTTTTAGCAAATTTAATTAAGGATGAGTTATGAACAGAAGATCACAAATTGACAGAAAGAAGAAGGCAGCATATATACATACAGAAAGTGTTTGTGCTAGGTGTGGTAGGCCTGGTCTATATATTGAGTTCCAGGTCAGGGAGACCCTGTCTTAAAACCAGAAAAAAAAAAATTATGAGCCAGGTATGGTAGCTCACACCTGTAATCCTTGCACTTAGTAAGCTGAAGTAGGAGGATTGCCATGACTTTAAAACTGTCCTGAATTATATGAGTTGCAGGCCAGGAAGACCTTGTCTCAA